GAGATGCAAGCTTGGCCCTGTCTCAGGGCTGGGTCTGCTCCCCACCGCATCCCTTTCTGCCTGCTTTGGCCCCTCTCTGGGGGTGGTTGGCGCAATACGCGGGCCCCAGCCCTGATTGGCTTCATGTGTCACGCTAAGCCATCCTGGTTTCAAGCTGGCTTAGCATTTTATGCAGACCACCGTAAACCAGACAAATATGGTTTATTCATTAAAGCACAAGAAGTACGTGAGGGTGCAGCCTTGCACGCCTGCAGAAAAGTCCTAAGTCTTCCTTGAATCCCCCGCGTTCACTTTGGGACCTTACGTTTCACTGGGGAATGTCAGAGTCACCCCCTGCCCTAAGCCAGTGCCAAAAATACCCCATTATGCCTTTCTTGGCATGACATGGGAACAAGGCCAACCCTTAAATGCACGCAGTGGGGAGAACAAGACAGGGCATTGCCAGCTATGGCAATTCCAATTCAGCAGAGCGCTGAAATCATTTTTGGAAGGGGCTTTTGACACCTGGAGATTCATCCATCCATGCATGCACCCATTCCGTTTTTTTAGCAGCCAGATAGTAGCTTTACCTTTTCTTCCAAACTTTTTTTTTTTCCATTTCCAAGTCTAGCCTACGATCCTGGGATTTTCTGGTGGTATCCAACCCAAGCAGTATTCTGGTCCAATCCTGCTCACCCAGAGATTCTGCCACTAGAGCCGGGCTTAAAGGCATAGGTGGAGCGTGTGTGTTTGTGCACCCTCACGTTGTGCCTGTGGGTGTGCAGGGGGTGGGCTGGAAACGTTCGGCTCGGCTCCGCTTCAGTCGGAGGTCAGCAGTGCTGCCCGGCTGCCCTCCTCAACCAAACGCACTGAGGAACTTTTGCAGGAAAGTTTTTCCTCCCAGCTCCCAGATGGATCCTAAATTTCACCCTGTGCGGTTCAGTTTCCAGAGAATTATCCTGCTGACAGTCAGATGGACCGAGTCCCGAGTCCTTCTCATAATTTCTTTCTAATGTTTTGTTGGGTTGGAAAAAAACAAAAAACCTTCTAAGTCAAAACTGCTTGGAACAAAATGTTTGGCAAGATACATATCCCAAGTCAAATCAAGGGATTATCCAGGCTAGCTTGCTGTGTTCCTGGACGGTGCCCCTCCTGCAAGGATTCCCCTTTCATTCAGTCTTACCATTTTGAGGGTGGCTGATTCCACAGTGGCTCTGGGCGGCTTACGATTACCGTAAAAGAGAATTAAAAAGAAACAGCATACAGTACATCAAAGAGAAGACAACCAACCAGAACACTGAGCCCCTAGCACACAAAACCAAACCCCCAGATACCCCAAACCGAAGGCGCTCGACCATCATCCTAACCCATGGCCAGAGAACGCAACCAGGTCTTTGAGGCTCTCCAGAAGGCCTTCAGGGTGGGGGCCAGACCTCAAGGGGGGCCCCATTCTGGAGGGCAGGGCCCACGACAGAGAAGGTGTGTTTCCATCTAACCCACAAGGTGATAGGGCTTTATTGATGGGACGCCCACTCCAGCTGACCTCGCCAGATGGGTGGCAACTTCCTTCAAAGAGCCGTGAAGAGCTTCACTGTGCTCCTTCCTAAAGCAGAAAAGAAAGCAAGGGAGATCCACAGTGTTCTCCATCACTGGAGGAGTTTTTGACGAGTGTGCTGGTCAGGCAAGGCATCCCACGTGGACATTTCTTGGACTTCAGGACTGACTCTGCAGTGTTCTCCTTTTCTCTTCCAGCTTTACAAAAGACCCTTCCCAGCTTTGCCCTGATTTCATCTGTCACAAAGGCCCCATGGCTTTCTGCTGCCACCGTCCCACCAACTGTTCACCCTGAGGGCCTTGCAGCCTGGCCTGGCCTGGCCTTTAGAAGACCCCAAATCCATGGAGAGCTGGCTTCGTTCCATGAATGTCATCTGCCAAGGTGTGCGCTGTTGCTCTCTGCAGCACAGCTGCTTCCCCCTCCCGGCGCATGTCTCTGGCTCTCTGGGAGTAGACGTTTCTAGCTTGTCCAGACCAAGATGTCCCTCAGGGTGCTCTTCTTGGGGACTGTAATTGCCTGCCTTTGGGAGCAACAAAGGAGGGTCTGCCAACGTTATGAGGTAAGGCTGGGTGAAGCCTCCAGACTGGCCCTCAGACTCTTTAGAAGCAGCTTCCTCTAAGTGGGGAGCCGAGGGGCACGTCCCTGGGTCCAGGTCTCTTCTGGAGCACCATGGCCAGAGAGTGCTGGTGTCATGGGGGTTAAGAACTGAGGCTCATTCACACAAGCTAATCCCAAAAGGGTACTATTCGGACCCAGGAAATCCTGCCTCTTCAGACCAAGCCCCCTGGCCCTCAACATCTAACCAGCCTAACAAGAGGGGGTCCTATTTGGGCTGTTGTCTGTTGTCGTGGAATTTTTGCCAAGACAGGAGCACAACACTGAAAAGAACCAGGTTTATTGCCATGGTCATTGGGTGCCTGCTTTCAAGAAAGAGGGGCCCTGAACAATAGAAAAGTATAAGATTTATATACTTTTGAGGTTGAGAGGCAGGAAATCGGAGGGATCTGATTCAAGGATAGGTTTGGATAGGTGTTAAGTGGGGATAAGTAGTTTTTCTATTGTGAGATAAGAACCAGGGCAAACCCTTAAGCAGACAGGTGATGGCCCTCCCAGTGGAACATGGCAGTGGAACATGGTTGCTCTTGGGTCATGCATTAGCCTGGAGCTGGTCCTGTTTTGCATGAGCAAAGAATAGCAGAAGGAAGTGGAGAAAAGAGATTGCAGGAGAGGCAAGGGGGGGGGGGGGAAGAGTGTCCAGCTTTATTATTTTTCCATCACATCTGTATCTGGTACACTATTCCTCAACAAACAGAGAACAGACGCAGCTCCTGAACAGCCTTCCCCAATCTGGTGCCTGGGGAACTGCAACTCCCCCAGTTACCTGGATTTTTTTGCCGCACTAGACTTCCACCAACTCCCCCCCCCCCCCCCCCGCCCCATTGCCCCAAACCTCCCTCCCCTCTAGCTGAAGAGTTGGGCTAGAGGTGAACTCTAGCCCTGCCCTGCAGCCAGCCAGAGGTCTCCATCGTGAAGAAATGGAGGTCTGTGTCCCACCCTCTTTCCAGGCACTACAAACCTGGCTTAACCAGGGCAGGCACGAAAGGTTTGTTCTCAGAGAGCAGGCGTGTCCTTCAAGAGCTACCAGGTTTGGGCAAAGTGGCAGACGTTGCCCAAGCGGCTTCTCAGCCCTGAGGAGGAGGAGCACGGTCTCTCTGATGGCAGAGCTCAGCTGTCCCCAATTCAGCTCCTTTGGAGGTTGCGTCTCCCAGAACTGGTTGGGGAACTTGAGAGAAACCAGCTTGATGTTGACCTTGGCACTGGCTCGCTCAGCCTCTGGCTTAATTCCCCATCTTGTTTATCCTTTGAGAAAAGTATGGCTAAATTCTAAGTTACGGCCTCTCTCCTCTTACTACTTTGCACCTTGAGCCTTCTATTATGTCCAAAGACCCCTTTCATGGAGGTTACAATTTGTGCATTCAGCACAGATGTGAAAATATTGACAAAGCCAGCTGTGCTGCCCTCTCCAATTTTCTATCCGACGGCACGTGGAGTTTTATCAGCAGACAAAACCGATCCTGGTATTGTAGGCAGCCCTGAGTCCTGGGTGTGGGGGTCTCTTTGCTCCCTGGGGGTCCCCGGTATCTCCATGGGGTGAGACAGCCCTGAAGGTTTACAACATGAGGTCCTCCTAGACTCCCAGCTATGCTGGACAGGCAAGAGTAAATTGTGGTTGGGGGACCTTTCCCCAGCTTCAGCTGGTGCACCAGTCGTAGCCTTACCTGGGAGGGGAGGATTTTGCAAGTGAGTCAACCCCTCATCACTGCTCCTTTGGGACCCTGTAATGCGCCCCACGGGGGGCTGCCTTTGAAGACCACACAGAGACTTCAGTCAGCCCAGAATGGTGTCCAGCAGGTCCTGTCTGACATGACCACGCCGCACCTGTGCTCTGGGCCATGTGCTGGTTTCCTATTTCCTTCCACGTGCAACTCAAAGTGTTGGCGTTGTCCTTCGAAGTCCTACATGGCTTGGCATCAGTGGATCTCTGGGACCATCTCCTCCACTTAATTTTGACTTGCGTGATACAAAATCTACCATTTCCAGGCAATTAAGGGAATGGAGGCCCTCAAATACTGTTTTTCCATGGTGGGGCCGATGCAATGGAACTCCCCCCCACCCCAAAATCTGATCAGCTACTAGCATGTTAGGTTTCAGCAAATGAGTCAAAACAGAACTGTTTAAGAAGACCTCCGGGTTATAGAAGTTGCTTTGTCTTTTGATCGGTTGCTTTATGATTCTATCCACACTTCAATTACTACTTACCCTTACACAAAATGATTTATCCAACAGACATTTTGCTCATAAATCCCTCAATTGTGGTGAGCGGAAAAGTCAAATTAACAAACCAATTAAAAGTCATCGTATTAAAGGGATTTAAGTCACATGAAATCAAATTTGGCTTTTGTCCAGGTTCTGCCTACTATTTCGTGCCATATGCTGCAGTAGGGAAAAAATGGCACACTCCATTTTTTTTAGAAATGAGTTTGAAGCAAGACCCTTCCACCCACCCACGAGGCATTTCTCCAACGGCGTCACGAGATCCAGTCACTCTTCTGTCCTGGCAAGCCGTTGCTCCCAGGAACGGACTTCCAGTGCTCCTCAGCCTCTTCAGAAGGGGATCAGCCACGAAGCTACGCTCCTTGGCCGCCACGTTTCCTCTTACGGCTCTCAACAAACACTCGCCTCCCGGCCATCCTGCTTCCACTTGGTTCCAGCTGTTCTTGGCGAGATGAGCATGGAGGACAACCCTTTGCGATCAGCTCAGGGCGGTCCACCTGCAAAACACCCCCACTCCCACCGTCAGCTTGGTCCCCATCCTCCCCCCGCCCCCGGGGAGACCACCAGCCCTTCTGAAACAACCAATCCAGGAGCACCATTTAGCCAGTTCAGGCCGACACCCAGACATAAGTCTGTTCTGTACAAAATATCATTTAATTCAACGGCATTTCTCTCTATACACACAGCTGGAAAGGCCCCTCCAGGAGCAGCTCCCAAGATGGATTTGAGGACGGGTGGGCAGAAGCACTTTGGTGCAGCAATCCAATTATTGATCCTTCAAAACTGCTGGCGTGGGTTTCTATTCTGCCAGTTCCTTGGCCACGGCCTTCTGCATCTTATCCTTCAGATACTGCGTCTTCTTCCATTCCGTATTCAAGTTAAACCATTCATGATAGGGAACCTGTCGGGGGGCAGAGAGAAAGAGAAAAGATCTAAGGCAGGCATCCACAATCGTGGTGAATCAGAGGCCGATCCCCAGAGGCTGGGGGACTCTGGGAGTTGAAGTTCACCCATCTTAAAGTTGCCAAGGTCCCTTGGCACTCTCGGGCAAAGTGTCGCTAAGAGAGAGAAAGATGAGCGAAGATGAGTGGATCTGGGGAGATGCTAACAGGGAAGATATCAAGGAGCGCCCAGGATCAGAGTTTTATGCCCCTCAACTCTCTTAGTGGCACACAGGCCCAAACCGGCTGAAATGATTAAATGAGTTAGGTTAAATGATTAGCAACCAATTCAGAAAGAGGAAAGAGGACCATCCAAGGGAAACTGGAGTGGAGCAAGAACAGATGAATGCAGATGAACATGGACACAATCAAAGGGTTTCCAGGAAGCATTTCTACCCCACCGAAGCTGCTGTTTGAGACTGCAAAGTAAGAATGGGAGACGATTCAGTGCAGCCTCCAAAATGGCTGTCTCTGACCGATCCACAAGCCTCCCCTTTCAACAGGTGGGGGTGAGGGAGGGCCCACGGGCCAGTATTTGGCCACTAGCAGGCCAAAAGGCGAGCAAAAGCAGCTGCAAAGGAAGAGGAGCTGCTCTTCTTCTCTCCAGCGAAAATTCAGCTGCAGGAGTCACCGAGAGGAAGCCCAGCCACGGGAGGCGGAAGGGGAGACCTCGAAGGTCCGACTCCCTGCTGGCTCCTATTGCTTGGCTCTGGGCCTTGACCCGGTGGCCTAAAACTGTGCTGAATACCTTCCACGAAGAGAAGCAGGCCTGCGCCATTTGCAGATTTGGGCTTACAGGGAGTCCCAGTTTAAGAACAAGTTCCATTCCCAAGGTCAGTCCTTAAGTCGAAATTGTATGTAAGACAGAACAGTATTACTGTAGTATTATGTAATGAACTTGAACCCTTGTGTATTTAATTTGAATCGTTGTGTATTTAATTCGAACCATTGTGTATTTAACTTGAATTTTGCTAAACTGGCTCCATTCTTAACTACGGGCCATCTGTAATCTGGGTGTTCTTACCCTGGGGACTCCCTGCATCATGATTTTTTTTTTTGCTGTTGCTGCTGTTGGAGCAAAGTTCTTATTTGGCTCCCTGAAATGCCTCCGTGTCTGGCTGACCTTCAGATCAGGCCTATCCTTGCGCTGAGAAGCACCAGTCACACAGCCTGGACTGAAAGAATCAGCCTGCTGTATGGAATACTGTACACATGCCCTATTTTCTTGGTATCTTCCACTTTTATCTTCCCTGCCTTGCCTCTAAAGAGACCAAAGCGGGATGCCGTCACCTTCTCCCCTGTATCTCCCAACAACTCTGAAATCGCTTTGGCTGAGAAATAGTAACCGAGAAGGAATTTGCACCCACAACTCCCCTGCTGAAGACCAACGTCTCTGCTCCTACAAAGGGCCTCGCTGTCCTGCATGCCAGGAGTTCTGATCCTGCTTTCCTTCTAAGGTGAGCTACTGAACACCAAACATCCTGTCAAAGCCCACATCCCTGGAAATAACATCTGAAGGTGCTGGGTAGGATTCCTGGCCTGAAACCAGGGTCAAGGAGGCCTCCCGGTGCCTCCCGGTGCCTCCCCCTTTGTCTCCCCACCAGGCTGCCAAGAGCAGAGCAGGTGCCAGAACCGCAGTGGGGAGTTGCTGCTAAGGAGTGAAGGAGCAAAGGCCTCCCCTGCTCATCCCTGGAAGGGGGCCCGATGCTCACAAGAGCGGGAAGGACCCCCTGGAGCATCCTCTCTGCCTTCCCCACCTCCCGGGGGTTGGGAAGTGGGACTAGTCCAGGCCTCTGCAGGGAGACCCCCCTCGTGCTCTTCCCTTTGGAGGAAAGCCACATGGTTCTTGGGAAGGAGTGAGAAAATGTCAGGCAACGGAATGAGGCATGAGAAAACACAGGCAAAAGTAGTTTCCAGCGACACCATTCGCTACACCTCTTTGCGCTCTCTTTCCTTGCTTCCATACACTGATACAGGCACTGCCTTCTGTTCTTACTGAGGCGAGGATTGATGGGGGGAGCCCCAACTTCCTCTTAAATTTGAGGGGGGGAGAGAAGAGCTGCCGCGTCCCATTTACTCCACAGTCAGCGGCCCCTGCAATTTTGAAGGCTGCGCATGTCTGCTCCCACCCTCTCGCTCCGTCTAGGTGGTTCTGCTCCTGTCTCTTTAACGGGATGGATAAATAAATGGTCCAAGAAAGGAACTGAAGCCCCACCTAGTGAACACTGGAAGCCCCTCGCCCGCTCTTGGATTTCTGAGACTTCCTTTGGTGCAGCCCTTGCATTTACGGGCCTCTTTGTGAACGTGTGAGGACTAGAAACTTAGTTACAGGAAGCCCCGAGAAGCAGACGATTTCAGGAACATCCAACCTAACGCACCCTCCTCCCAGCTCAGCACCAAGCCCCCCCAAAGACCTGCCTCCCACAGCGGCGCATGCTTATTTCATGGTTAGTTTATTTGGCCTGTGCCGCCGCCCATCCCGCACAGCGACTCCCAGACCCACCTCGACAATCAGGAAGCCGGCGGATTGGATGTGCCGCTGAGCCAGGACGAACCGGCCCAGCAGGTCTTTGCTCCGGCTGCTGAAGTTGGGGAATTCCCACAGAAGGAAAGCAAGTCTGCCACGGGGGGGGGGAGGAAGGAAAAAAAAATCAAGCAGAGCTTGGCACCGCCCCACCCCATAGTTCTCCTCCATTCTGGGAAGCATCTGTTGAGCCACCCGACAGGCCCCCGCACACCCATCCTTAGGCCTTCTGGACAAATTTTGGAGAAGGCGTGGTTGAACTTTCCTTGAGAAGCACAACGATCTTCCACAGCGAAGTCAGAAGTTCCCCAAGTTCCCCCTTGGCCTACCCAAACACAACCCCCACAGCAATTTCCACCGAGGCTGCCCACACCTCTTTGGTCTGGCCCATTCAAAAGTGCGCATGACAATAGTTAGGTCTGATGCTGGGCTGCCTCCTAAGGCAGAGCATTGAGTGGGTCAGTCAAAACTGGCAATGCCTTCTAACCCTAACCCTAGGCCTCCAGATGCCTTCTGGGAGCCGCAGGACAAAAGCTAAATGTAATTTTGTCTGGTCAATAGTGAAACGTGATTAAACTGACTAAGGGTAGCATTATTTACCTGTATTGATTTGTTAGCGTGCACGATGCCTCAATCGCAATGCGACTCTAGGCAGCTTATGCAATAGGGTTAAAGCATCAATTAGTGTCAGCCTTCCCAGGTAGACCAGACAGGAAACACGACCAGATGAGCTAATTCTACTTTATTGTAAGGCTACGTTAAGAGAATCTTGCAAGTCTGAAAGTACAAATCTCCCACTGTCTCTTTTACACCCCGAGAAACTAGGGAGGGTCCCTTCTGAGCCTCTTGCCCCACCCACTATCCAGCTGCGGGCTGTGCTGTCTCTTATCCGACTGTTCCCAAGGCAGTGTCTTTTCCAGTTTCCCGAGCTCTTTCCCACGTTTCATTACAAGTAGGAACAACAGAAAGAAGCAAAACAAAATCAACAGAACACTTAGCATGCATTAGGGAGGATAACTAACATATTCCCCCTGTTCTCCAGTTCTGTGTTCGATAATTTCTTCCTTCAATGGCATTAAACATTAAGGATGAGCAAAACATACCAACCCAGGAACAGAACATTCAGAAGAACTGGAATGTTGTCTTCCTCCTTCCTCCCACCTGGTTGTTTC